CCCCAAAACCCCAAAACCCCAAAACCCCAAAACCCCTTCAACTTTATTGTTGAAATAAGTTGATTTTTTAGAATTTAGTTTTAATACAGGGAATTAATATGACAAATACTCACATTGCATTGTACATAATTATTTCCCTTCTATACATACACAATCTTATACAGTCTAAGATTGGTATGTTTTCATTAAAGAATGATTATCTTGATATTTTTACTTTGCCGAATATACTCAAGAACTCACTGATCATCATAGTGATGCTATTATTGGTGTTCTGTTAGCTAGGACAATCCCTCGTTTAATGTTAGATTGAGTCATTTAGAATTTTAATGTTGAGATTTTAGTATTTAATTCGACAATGCTGAAGGCATTAACTAATTGATATTTGAGTTCCTAATTTCTTCATATTCAAATTATTCTATCATATTCCGAGTATTAGCGGAACTATTATCTTTCTGATTAATGAGACTGTCAGATTTAATACATATTCGAGATTGAAATTATCTCCTCTAGTCTTTAATTGTATTTTGTTAATAACCAATCATATTCTTTAATCCTTTTGCTGGTTAATTATCCTAAGGCTAGCTACTATTCACTCTGAGAACTGTTTTCTCGCTAAGGCATATATCTTAATAGTTAGAATTATCATCCATAAGTACATCATCGTTCTTGTTAAGATTCTGCTATACAAACACTTGTTTAATCTCTAATTATGTATAAGTCTAGTCCTAGCTCCTAGGTACTTCTGAGATTTTTTATTCCATTAAAACTGGACATTGCTTTAACGAAGTTTAGTCATTATTTTTGACGTTGATATTTGATTATTATAGATCCAACGGTAGAGAGTTGGCTGCAGTTGAGATTGAAACCGAAATATTTGGCTTTACCTCTTACTTCGGCTTCAAAGGTATTCTGATTTTAGTTAAATTAACTACATATTACAGTTTGTTGAAAAGTTGCTACTTTGTTTGCAATGCTTTTTCTCTATCATTCAAGAGCATTCTAGTTTGCTCTTGAAAAAAATTGGATTGTTAAATTTAATCAATTCCAGGCCTGTCCTTTGGATTCAAACTCAACATTCTTTAAAGCAAGTCAGATAGTGAAGCTGAAATTTATACTTTGTATGTATTCTTCGTGTAATCTTCCATAAATTCTTTCACAAATGTCTTGGGCTTCTCTTAATATTGCGGGTCTTTGCCGCTATTTGTCGCAAAAGGCAGTTTTTTGAAGACTAGATTGAAAAGTATCACCCCTAGTGCAAAAATATCAATTTTTTCAGGTTATAAAAACTTTCTATTTGGAGAGTTATGCTGTTCAGGACTCATATATTTTATCGTGCCTGACTTGCAATTAACCTTCCCTTATCTTATTACCTCAATCTTTTTTGAGATGCCTAAATCAGATATCTTAAATGCTATTGGTAAGAGCGCATTTAAAGGAGATGTTTGATTCTCCTTCTTAAAGTTCAAGAGAATGTTGGCCTCCTTCAAATCAAGATGAACATAGCCTCTTTTGTGAATTTCTTATATCGTAAAAAGCAGTTATCTCATTACTACAAATGCTAATGTTTCAGTGAATGGGATAGTGTACATCTACAACTACTGTAAACTTCCATATTAGCAATATTCCAAATATAAGGATGGAACTGTAGCTGCTTTTCTATCATCCGAATTTTGAGATTAATTGACCATTCCAAAATACTTGATGATCCCCTCTATACCTGCCAGATCTTCAAAGACCAATTTTTCCTCCAGAATTTGCTAGCTTGTTCTATTGTTGTTTTTCTTCATATCAGCTTCCTTAATGATTCGTTTTTCTCCATTTTAATAATGAGCCAGATATATGATAGAACTGCCTCCACGATCTAAAATCTATTTTTTGATCAATTATAATTCCATATAAATCGTTTAATAAAATTCTCATCAATTCGAAGCTATTTTTTGTTTTCGGGGTTTTGGGGTTTTGGGGTTTTGGGG